ATTCAGATATTATTTTGTAAACCATTGCCACACTGGAGGGCGGAAATATAGCGCTGATCGCTTTGAAATTTTTTCGGCTTAAAAATAAATAAAAATTAAAAATCACCGATTGAATTACAGCTAAACGTAAATTTTTACTGTGGAAAATAAATATAAGAAATTGTGAAGCATTTTCTATGATATGGTGGTGGTCCACATTAGACGCATAGTCCACATTACCCGAAGTTCCTCTAGCATTCGATCACAAACTGAGATATTCAAAACGTTCACAGAGATTTACATATTTTGATAGTGTAAAGGATATCAAATAATGTACGCTAATTTGAGTGATTTTGGACGCTTCGATATAACAATGCACCCTGCATTTTGAAATGTTCACATTGCCATTCTAAGAGGTTGCAATAAGTTTAAAATTTCACGTTAATACCATTATTAGAGATATTTTTGACCTAGCCTGTCATATATTTTCTATGTGCCGTTTTTTTATAGAGAGGTAGGAGGAAGTGTCACCTTCATCCATTATTTTCTGTCGGTATATTTACCCAAAACAAAGTGTTAATGGAATCTGCTTTCGACATATCAGGAACTAGGAAAGGGAAAGTACACAACAGTGTTATCAACTTTTGAATTTGCCCTTCCAAAGCAAAGAATACTTTTACAGCCAAGGTTATCAATAACATACAATTAATTATGATTCAATGATGAGTTTACATTTTTTCTTATTTTTTGTTGTTTTAGTTTTTAGATGTTGCCTTCCGCCCCTCTGCCGAAATGAATGAACGAGTGAAACGATCAGATGTTTGTATTTTATACGGGAACACAATTCATTTCTCCGGGCATCCTGTTAACTTCGGGTGGTAAAGTTTTCAACAATTTTTTGATGATACTTACTTTGGCAAAAGAACTTCCGCATATTTCAATAAAGTGGCACGAAGTGTGGACATTTGCTGCACTAGTCCATACAACAGAAGGAAAGCCAATAGACCACACGCTGTGTGCAGTTTGTTGTCGTCATTTTTTTATTATATTGTATTCAGGTTTTTTTCCATAGAAATCGAAAAGTGTTGTGTGCCGAAAATAATGACGGTGCAAATATAACGAGTCCTGCTGCATTCACTTTGTGATACATGCGGTGGACTTTTTGTTGTCCCGTGTTGCTGTGTTTTCTTGCATGATGGCACTCTCCTACTTAGACAGCAACAATAGAGACTCATTGAGGGTTTTTTTTTTTTGCAAACAGGAGGATTCGTTTTAATAGCAGCAGTGCCAATTGTGAAACTGCAACGCCAGTATGAGGGTGTCTGTTCACGTATCCTGGTACGATATGAGAGCATGTTGTCATTAATCATGGTTTATAATGTATTTCCTATTTCCCAGAAATGAAATGTTTGGATTTGTTCATTCGAAATGTTCGTTTAAGACTTGCGGATGTCGGTTGCATAATGTTGTATGTCTAGAATGACGAGAATAGTTAGGACAATGCGTCCGATGTTTTTATTGAATATCGTCTGATTGGTAACGAAAATTGTGATGTTGATGTTTGTAAAAAAATATCTTACAGTTTACATTAAATGGGCGTATTTATAGCCACATGACAGAATTTATATGATTATTCTTTTTTCCATAGAAGCAACAAAGGAGTCACTACGTAATATGACATTCATCAGATTGGTGATCTCCAAATAAACCTGAGATCGAATATATTGATGATTTTTTTTTTGGTATAGAAGTTTGTTACGAAATCAGATCCGCAATGAGCATATACGAATTTGCCTGACACACACTATTTATTTCACAGAAAGAGGAGAAATTATTGAATTATTAAAAATTTGTGACAAGTTTTTTAATCGAATTAGCTGTAATATGATATTTGATAAAACATTATTTTTATCAACAATTTTTTATATCAGTTCGGTATTTCAATTATTTATTTATTTTTTTTGATAATTTTATATTAAATGTGATCTATGCAAGTTATAATCAACTTTTAATATATAGGGTTATCCAATTCGTGGTTTGATAAGTAAACGTAAATAAAATATATATAATTGGTTCATGATATATCTTTTTTATACCCTACACCACACTGTGGTACAGGGTATTATGTCTTTTTGCATATGTTTGTAACAGGCAAAAGAAACGAGATAGACACATAGTTCCTTTTTATGCATGTCCGTCCGTCCGTCTGTCTGTCCATGTTAAATTGTAAACAAATTAAAGGTCGCATTTATCATCCGAATTGGATGAAATTTGTCATAGGTCACTTATTTGGCCCAAGGACGAACCCTATTGAATCGGTTCATATTTACATATAGTTCCCATATATATTTTCGTCCGATTTAAGGTAAATGTTGTACCAAAGTCCCTATATATCTTTCGATTTGCACGAAATTCGGCACAGCGTAATGAATTAGGTCTACAATGATGTATGCTAAGTTTTCATGAAAATCGGATCAGATTTAGATATAGCTCCCATATATATTTACGTCCGATTTAATGTAAATGGTGTACCAAAGTCCATATATATCTTTCGATTTGCACAATATTGGGCATGACGTACTGCTAAATTTCGTGGAAATCAGTTCTGATTTAGATGTAGCTCCTATATATTTTTTCTTCTAATTGTATGTAAATTGTGCACTAAAGACCCAAAGTTGGTCCGATTGCCACACAATTCTGTACAATGAGCTGTATTTAATATAAATTAGTCTCTGCAAGTCTCGTTGAAATCGGTTCAGACTTAGATATAGATGCACCAAACTCCTCATGTTTATCAGATAGGGTAGACTAAGGCACCTTCGGCATCGAGCAAATAAAAAATTATTTAAATGCACGTTTTTTTATTTATTAACATACCCACCGTGTTAGAAATGTACTTCATCACTTCAATAAATTTGTGGCTGTGGCAGAATCGCCAATTTTGTAGTGGAAGAAATATATATAAGCTATGTTTTCAACGAAACTTAAGGGGACCCCCCATTCTCGGGGTCAAAAAATTTTTGGATTAAATCGAATCTACACTAATTCAAGAATGTTCCTACAAAATTTCAAGTGTAAATCTCAAGAACTCTTGAAGATATAGCCGATATATTGTGTCAGCATCAAGTGACTGCTAAAGGGCTTCTCAAACTTTAAATGCGTTTTTCTCTTTTGCGAATGGCGGGCACGATAACTCAAAAACACGTTTCACGTTTCTCTGTGAGTGTATAGCTATCGTATGAACTAGGATGAAGCCAATCGGTGAAGATTTTCCTTATTTTTTAAATTGGTTTTTGGTCAAAAATCGGCGATTCTCCAAAAATATTTTTTCAAAGGTCCGCCATTTTGTTAATTTTAGAGCGAAGTCAATGATCCTAGTTCATACGAGAGCCAGACATGTACTCTTTCTAACGCCGTTGGAATTTTCGGATTCCGATGTTCGAATGAGGAGTTATCATGCCCGCCATCGAAAATAAGGACTTCTCTTTAATTAAAAAAACAACAACAAAACAACAACAAAACAACAACAACAAAATTGTGTAAATTATTTTTCTTCTTTTTAAAAATCTTCAAATACATATGTGCAAAGTTACAAACCTTAAAAATCATTGGTATTCATTTACCAGCCCATTTAAAATCTTAAAAATAAAAAATCGAGAATGGGGGGTTCCCTAAACACATATCATAACAGACTCAATTTTGGGTCATTAAAATCACATATTAAAGATGAAATATTTTCAAATTGCTTATAAAATTTAAATTTCCTCAAATTTGAAATTGTTGGTATGGCATTTTGTCTCAAAAAGATTAGTGGATGCACATCACATGTAGCATGTGAGCGGTTAAATTACTTTTTTATCGGATAAAAATTACAATGTTGGCAATCTAGGTATATCACATTTGCATCACATACCCAACTATCATGCAACTGTCTAATATGAAAATAAAACTACTTCTGTAATGATATGTAAATTATTTATTTTGAAACCCATTAAGGTAGGAAAATCCAATCATAATTTCCCGTAATAGTTGTTTTTACAAATGGAAGCCATCATGTATGGGAACAGCTGAAAATAATTAACGGAAAATCGAATGAAATTCTCCTCTTTTAGTTAAGATCAAACCGATTTGGAATATATTTAGGGGAAATGTGTGGATGGTGTTGACAATAAAATGTAGCTAGTCTTGGTAGGAGAAACCTTCATAAACACAACAAAAACATTTATTCTCTCAAAACAAAATCCCCTAACGTTGTCGCTCTTTCTTTCTCACTCTCTCACCAAACATGTGTTTGTTGTATTTTCTAGTTAATTTGTTGGTGTCGCTGTTGTATAAAAATACACAATAAACTTGGCAGCACTTTGCCGACTGGACTGTCAGAATAACAAACGTATTTGTCAGTTTTCAGTTGACAGCTATAATTCAAGAGTGAAGGGTGTGTGACATTGCGCTTGTTCACAACACTACACAACTAACAATTTATTTTTCCGACTAAACAATTCGTGTCTATCTGTTTATTATTTGGCTTCGCAATTTAATAACAATTTCATAATTAAAAACTATAGTAAAGTGATGTCTTGCAACAAATATTTTTCTATTTTGTGTTTTTTTATATTTCGGTGAATTTTTTGTTTATATTTTCGGAAAATTTAGTTTGTATACATAAAGACATAAAGCAGCAATGTCGATAGAAGCAGCATACAAAAAGAAAACCGAAAACTAAAAAGAGGAAGAAGAAGACCAAACGTAAAGCAAAACAAAAAGAGCAAATTTTAGAGAAAAACTAGTGGAAGAAGAGAGTGTGAGAGAGCACAAAGATAAATAACAAGAACAAAAGTAGTGAAAAGTAAAAACAAAACAAATTAAATGAATATTTCATTGTTTATAAACAAATTGTATTAAATCTTGTGCCTGCAATTGTGATTCGTGTTCATATATTTTTTTAAATATAATAATAAACATTACCAAGTGCCAGAAAAATATACAAACAAAAACAAAATTTTGTTAAAGACCCAAGGAGACGTCCAAAAATGGCGTGTTTACATTCATCGCCGCAAATTCTTCCCCAAACAATTTGGAAGATGTCACTGGGTTTGCTGTTCCTATTCTCCACAATCAGTGGATGCTGGGGCCATTTAAATTTGTATCTAAATCCTCAGGAAGTGATGCGCCTATTGGGTAAGTAAATAATCTCGTCTAGAGTTTGTTCAGTGTTGTCCAAATGAAACAAAATGATGTTTTCCAAAGAATTGGCAGATAAATAATAATACGAGTGCGTGTGTACTTCTTTAATATGTTTGCTTAAACTCTTTTTGTTGTTGAGTTTACATTATTCTGTTGTTGTATTGTTACAGTTTGTCTGTAAAAAGGAAAGAACACACACACTCTACACAATTTTCGAAGAAATTTGTGTGAAATTCATTCATATTGGCTGTCTTCGTTTCGTTTACCCCTTTAGGGATCGATGCTGCGAAGAAATGTGCTATTGCTGCCTGCTTTCTGTGTTGTGTATCGTCTTTCTGTTATGAGAGTAAATACTTGTCAAATAAACTCTGTGTTGCTGCTGGTTGTGTGCCTTGTGTCAATATTTAAATGCCGATTTTTCCACGATTCTTTGAAAATGACATCCCGAAATACAATTGGAATATTTTCACGTATCCATGCTAAAATTACCAAATACAAAGCCGAACAAAAAAGAAAACCCCATAATGGGATATAATGGATGCATGGCATATTGAAAACCAAAAAAGTTGTTTTACTTCTTTTGGATTTTCATTTTTTCTAAAATCAATTTTGGTGGGAAAAATATAGCATTATGGTGGTTACTTGCATATTTAATTACCTGCTGCTTCAGGTATAAATGAATATCATCCAAATTTGCATCACGTGATTGGATTTCTTGCAAAATCCATATGTACACGAACCGTTCGAACACAGTTTTATCGGGTCACGATCCGGTAAATAACAATGATAATACCAAATTTAACCGCCATCGCACCAGTATAACTTGGAAAGTAAATGTGTTCCCATCTAATGATATCCAATTGTAGAGCTAGAAGCCTTCTATTATAATGAGTCGTCAAATGTTTGTCACTATAAACGCGCATGTGCATTGCATTAGCCCAGACCAAACAAAATTGTTTACAATTATTCAGGTTTTAGTATAATATTTCGATCTATCATGTCCAACAATTTGAATTTTGAACGTCATCTCGACCACACACATTGTTATTAGTCCAAATTAAAATTTTTACATATCATATCTTACGTTTACTTCAAACCCTCTCTAATTGAAATACATTAAATTCTTAACTCCAAAGACAAACAACAAATTATGCCAACCATAATGACACACTTAGAAAAATCAAAATTTCTAATGAGAATAAGCCTTTTAGTACTCTTCTCGTACTTTAGCACTCATAAATATTGTACAGCACAATAAAAATAAAAAAAAGAAATTTGTAACCACTTGAGACGTTGTTAGCCATTGTCATTGTTTACATTAACAAATGATTCTTTATGAAAAATTATTAAATTGTATCTCTTTTCAATGAGTTGCATTTTCGGGTGTTTGTTATACCCCACGTACAGTGAGCCAGCAACTCACTACAAGTCGTCTACATGAATGTCAAACGTATTTGGAATATGTGTGCATACATAATTTATGACTTGTAATAATTAAATAAATATTATTTTTCATTTTTGTGTCTTAATTTCCATAAATGCACCACCACCTCGACCCTTATTAATTAGACATAGACAAATGGTGGACGGACAGACTATGGTTTAAGCGGATGCTCATACTTATTTAGTAAACAACCAAACAGACGGGCGGACGAAGGCACGGCCTAGTTAAGACAATTTAAGTATTCAATCGACACTTACATATATTCCTTATTGACAAACAACAAGTTGTAGTAATCGGAAAGAACCACTGTCTGTCGTCATGTTTCCTTTAGGCTTCAGTGAATTTAATTTGTTACCGTTGTCATTGTAGATGTTTTTCTGTTGGCTTTGCTGCTTTCGTTTTGCTTAAATCACTCAGCTAATGATGGTTTGATGTATTACGAACGTACTATTGGCAGGCATCCCATCGCCAGGATTATCTTTTAGTTTTGTTCAAAATCGATTGTATCTTTTCATTGGTGGTAGAAATGCCAGTAAAACTAATTTATTACTTTGCTTCTCGGTTGGTTGTAGGCAAATTCGTCTTAACTTTTGTACGGACCCATGTTTTCATTAATGGTTTGTGTTTCTCTTGAAAATGTTTTTGTTTAATGTTGAAACTGAGATTTTTGTCCGCTCTTGGGGAACATGTTTAAATTTAATTGGTTTCTGGCTTTTTTGGTAAATTTTGTCTAATTGCGGCGCTGGTACTGTGTGGGTTTGTAATTTGTGGTGAAATGTTGTGTAAGATTCGATCATCAATCACTCGATATTTTCGAAAACGTATGCTCTAACTTATTACCATCATGATAGATTTGAGAAATGAAATTGTCTGTCTGACTGATTACATGAATCTTCTGGGTCTGCAATACATCATTCAAAATCTGAGGCCATCAATATGTGCTCTTCTTGTACTGTACTGTATTCTAATCAGGGTACGCCCTTTATTTGGTTGCATGATTTGTTTTCGTTGCCAAATTCGCTTTGCTTGTTAATTAACAAATTATAGAGATCACCAATAAAACAGTATTAATTAATGTTACAGTTCCTCGATTCTTATTATTGATTTTAAAAATCGTCGATTTATTATCACAATTTTGGATATATAATACCGATATTTTGATGTGACTTGTAATATCTATAACACTCCACCTTCCAAATATTTAAAATACTAGGTCTTCGGTGTTTCGTGTCAATTATTTTCTTCCCAAGAAATTATTTTGAGCGAACCTATTACATAAGAAACATGTGTCTCTGTTAATTGGTATTGAGTTAATTATGCATGCAGTTCAGATTCATTCCGCGAAGTCGTATCTCCTTTTATGTTTCACATGAAATTTCTTTCATAGTAAATTTATGAGAACATGTTCTTTATGTATTTGAACTTGTAAATGTCTTCATTTCTTGGGACAAAATTATCTTTAAAAAGTTCAACATTTCTGAAGAATATTACAGAGTTGTCTTGAAAAGGTTAATTTATTTTGAAAGTTGATGTCTTAACTTCTATGAAGTGCTATTGCTTTTGTTCCTGTTTTGTTTGAATTAAAATTTTTTAATTGAGACATCTTTGGATAGATTGCCGTCATTGTCATTGAACTTTAGTTCCATTCATTCCCAACTTAACCTCCCAATTAAAAAATTAGGTAAAAATAGGTACCACACCACCACACGATTTATAAACAACCACTGTGACATTTGGTCTTTTGTTGGCATACCTAATTTCAAATTACAAGGAAAATGTTTGGAAATATTCTAGGAAATGAAAAGATCATAAATTTTTATTGAATTGAGGGGGACAGTAGGGCATAAAGCAGCCCACAAACATTTTTTATGAAAAGGTATTCCCATAAATTGCATAAACTCGACAAAACCAATTTGAAATCGAAGCCAAAAAATGGGATTCCTTTTTTCTTTTAATACTGAACAGATATCCGCTCGTCAAATATACACTGAAGCATTTTTATTTGGAATATGGGAATGCCTAAATTTTGATGTTTTTGGGCTGTAACAATTTACAATTATTTAAATGGGGCAAATAAACCAAAAACAAACTAAATGCATAATTAGTTGCATGCATAGTTTATAAAGGGACAACAACTGACTCTGCTGATGGCGTGGATGGCGAATGCACATTCGCTGCTGCTTCTCTTCTACATCATAAATAAATTGGCTGCGGATTGGCGGTGAGGGTGGGTGGAGTGGAGAGGTGAAACGATGTCATCAATGTAATTATTCGTGCACATGGTGATTATGATGTTGATACTTGGCCTCCCCCCATTTTTTCTGGCATTCATGATGAACACTAGCCAGCTAATGATGTTCAGAGGAATATAACGACTGCTGTTGAATTCCTGTTTTATTTTATGGGATCAGAAATTGTTCCTGTTTACGAACCGCTTGTACGAGGAACTAAATATTGAATATTTAGGTAATGCATTAAAGTTTTGGATGATAATGTTGTTGAGAAGATGGCTATTCATTTAAATACCTTAGAACTACAATGGGTAATGAAATTGATTTCTCAAAATATTTTGGTCTTTGATTCTCCATCTATCTTTTATTTGATTTCACCTCATGTCGATTGCTCTGTGTTCCTACAATTATATATGCCTATCCTAATTAGGAATGAAACTAGTGCCATGGCGTTTTGTCACTTTTCCCTACAAGCGGTTATATGACTGCTGCAGTGTGTATAATACTCATTAACGTTTTTGTATCGTTTGAACCAACGACTTGGTGTACTATAAAATCATAAAAAAATGTCACTCACATGTCTGTCGTCACTTGTATATGAAGATGATGCATATACATATTATACTGCAATATACCTAAACTGGGTTGAAGTGAAAAATGAACTAAAAACATTACGGAGATTCATAAAAACACAATGAACACACCAATAAAATGTATATAGAAACAGCAAAAATCACACATTTTCCACAAAAAGCCATAATTTTTGGTATGAGTTTTTTCATGATCCTTTGACACAGTTGTGCAACGTCAAATGACTATTTATGTAGTTCACTTGGCAATACACTGCTGCTTGCTTGCTTACAGATACCACAAAATGAATTTTAGCGAGACAGTAGCAGCAGTTATAAGAGTTGTTGTTATTGTCCATGAAACGAATTGTTAATTTCGACATTTATAAAATTTGAACACATTGAAAAGTCCACTTCTTCCTTTTCGGACACCAATTTAATATTGGGGTGGGTGTCGGCTGTATAATTTCTTGTTGAAATTTGTGTTCTGGCAATAAACATGTTATATATGGTTGGTAAATGGGTCTTCTAAACGCAGTTCTTGTCGTTTGTTTGGTTTTTGTGTCTTTGTTGAACGCCCGCTGATCATTGTTTTCTCGTGGTCGGCTTTTACATGCATAGTTGTTGGCACAGCAAAAGCTATAGCAATACATAATTTGCGACAATATCAAGCGTTTGTCTTTTGAAGGATCTTTGTGTTTGTTTTTGAATTGCTTTGTCTTGCCCTTCTTGCGGAATTCTAGTTGCAAT